GCAACGACCCCAGCGACGAAATAGGACTTGCGATTGGAAACTCGGCACGTGGAACTGTCGATCTCTCAATTTCATCGGGAGCACCCGAATACTCGCCAATCTACTGAAGGACCGCGGATTCGGCATCGTAGCGCTGCAGGAGGTGTGTTGGACAGGATCCATGGTGCGAACGTTCAGAGGTAATCATACCATCTACCAGAGTTGCGGCAACACACGCGAGCTGGGCACAGCTTTCATCGTGATGGGCGAAATGCAGAAGCGCGTGAGCGGTTGGTGGCCGATCGACGAAAGAATGTCCAGGTTGAGGATCAAGGGCCGATTCTTCAACTTTAGCATAATCAACGTGCACAGTCTTCACTCCGGAAGCACTGATGATGACAAGGACGCATTTTACGCGCAGCTCGACCGCGAGTACGATCGCTGCCCAAGCCACGACGTCAAGATCATCATAGGAGACCTAAACGCTCAGGTAGGCCAGGAGGAGGAATTCAGACCGACGATTGGAAAGTTCAGCGCCCACCAGCTGACGAACGGGAACGGCCTACGACTCATCGATTTCGCCGCCTCCAAGAACATGGCCATACGTAGCACCTTCTTCCAACACCACCTCCCCTATCGTTACACCTGGAGATCACCACAGCAGACGGAATCACAAATCGACCACGTTCTGATTGATGGACGACACTTCTCCGACATTATCGACGTCAGGACCTATCGTGGCGCTAACATCGACTCTGACCACTACCTGGTGATGGTCAAACTGCGCCCAAAACTTTCCGTCATCAACAATGTACAGTACCGACGCCCGCCACGGTACAACCTAGAGCGATTGAAGCAACCGGATGTCGCCTTAGCATACGCGCAGAATCTCGAGGCAGCACTGCCAGAGGAAGGCGAGCTCGATGTACCCCCTCTAGAGGACTGCTGGAGTACAGTAAAAGCAGCCATCACCGACGCAGCCGAGAGCACCATCGGGTACGTGGAAAGAAGTCGACGGAATGAATGGTTCGACGAGGAGTGCAGAGCGATTTTGGAGGAGAAGAACGCAGCGCGGGCGGTAATGCTGCAGCATGGAACCCGACAGAACGTGGAACGGTATAAACAGAAGCGAAAACAGCAGACCCGCATCTTTCGGGAGAAAAAACGCCGCCTGGAAGAAGCGGAGTGCGATGAAATGGAACTGCTGTGCCGTTCCCAAGAAACACGGAAGTTCTACCAGAAGCTCAACGCATCCCGTAACGGCTTCGTGCCGCGAGCCGAAATGTGCAAGGATAAGGACGGGAGCCTCTTGACGGACGGCCCAAGTAACCATAGGCACGTTATTTTGCCCTTTTGAATATATACGGGCCTCATCAGAACTCGCAAACACTGGTATAGCCGTTGTTCAGTTGTATATAGCCAAAAAGGCGAAATAACGTGCCTATGGTTACTTGGGGGACGTGAGGTGATTGAAAGGTGGAAGCAGCACTTCGATGCGCACCTGAATGGCGAGGAGAACGTAGGCACGGGAGACCAACGCAATGGAGGAAACGACTACGTCAGTGCAGCAGAGGACAGAACTGATCCAACTCCCATGCTGAGGGAAGTTAAGGACTCCATTCAGCAGCTCAAAAACAACAAAGCAGCTGGTAAGGATGGTATCGCAGCCGAACTCATCAAGATGGGCCCAGAAAAGTTGGCCACCTGCCTGCACCGGATGATAGTCAGGATCTGGGAAACAGAACAGCTACCGGAGGAGTGGGAGGAGGGGGTAATCTGCCCCATTCACAAGAAAGGCGACCATTTGGAATGTGAGAACTTCAGAGCGATCACCATTTTGAATGCCGCCTACAAAGTGCTATCCCAGATCATCTTCCGTCGTCTATCACCTAAAATGACCGAGTTCGTGGGAAGTTATCAAGCCGGCTTCATTGACGGCCGATCGACAACGGACCAGATCTTCACCGTATGGCAAATCCTCCAGAAATGCCGTGAATACCAGGTCCCAACGCATCATTTGTTCATCGATTGTAAGGCGGCATACGACAGTATCGACCGCACAGAGCTATGGAAAATCATGGACGAGAACGGCTTTCCTGGGAAGCTGTTCAGACTGACCGAAGCAACGATGGACGGTGTGCAAAACTGCGTAAGGGTTTCGGGTGAACTATCCAGTTCATTCGAATCTCGCCGGGGACTGCGACAAGGTGACGGACTCTCATGCCTACTCTTCAACATTGCTCTAGAAGGTGTAATGCGACGAGCCGGGCTCAACAGCCGGGGTACGATTTTCACGAAATCCAGTCAATTTGTATGCTTTGCGGACGACATGGACATTATCACAAGAACATTTGGAACGGTGGCAGAACTATACACCCGCCTGAAACACGAAGCAGCAAAGGTCGAACTGGTGGTGAGTGCGTCAAAAACAAAGTACATGCTAGTAGGCGGAACCGAACATGACAGGATTCGTCTAGGAAGTAATGTCACGATAGACGGGGATACTTTCGAGGTAGTGGAGGAATTCGTTTACCTTGGATCCTTAATGACGGCTGACAACAATGTGAGTCGTGAAATACGAAGGCGCATCATCAGTGGAAGTCGTGCCTACTACGGGCTCCAGAAGAAACTACGGTCAAAAAAGATTCACCCCCGCACCAAATGTACCATGTACAGAACGCTAATAAGACCGGTGGTCCTCTATGGACACGAGACATGGACTATGCTCGAGGAGGACCTGCAAGCACTCGGAGTTTTCGAGCGACGTGTGCTAAGGACGATCTTCGGCGGTGTGCAGGAGAACGGTGAGTGGCGGCGAAGAATGAACCACGAGCTCGCTGCACTCTATGGCGAACCCAGCATCCAGAAGGTGGCCAAAGCCGGAAGGATGCGGTGGGCAGGGCATGTTGCAAGAATGCCGGACAACAACCCTGCAAAGTTGGTGTTCGCTACTGATCCGGTTGGCACAAGAAGGCGTGGAGCGCAGAGAGCACAACCAGGTAGAGCGTGATCTAGCGAGCATTGGGCATGACCGAGGATGGAGAGCGGCAGCCGCAAACCGAGTATTGTGGCGTACTATTGTTGATTATGTCTTATCTTAAATGTGATGTTGTACAAATAAATGGATGTATGTATCGATAAAAGAAGATTTTATCTCGCATCTAATACAACAAACACAACAAGAAACGATTTTGTGCCCAAATTATTAAGGCTGTGTTCCATTTGGTGAATGTTAACTTAAATTTGACAGATGGAAAATTTTCAAATAAACCTGCTTATTCAGCAGACCTATTTCTGACAGACAAGGAATCAATTTTGACAGACGCTTTCTCGAAAATCGGCCGATCAACAATAGGGATTTTCGAACATCTTAATTTATTTTCGAAGTGTCAAATCTAAGTGAAAATTTTCCAAATGGAACACAGCCTTAGTATTTTTTTTTATTTTTTCAATCGGTAGATAAAAGATGTACCGAGAACTTATTGGATGGTTTCATGGCTAATTGATATCCCGATCAACTATGAAATGTTGCATAACATTGGAGCAAAATTGTGCACTCCGTTTAGCGTTTTGAAGTTGAATCGCTGAGGAAACCTTATTTCTGATCAATCTCATTACCATAGAAAAATTTCAAGAGTACAGATATCAGCTCTCACAAAACTTATGACAAAGAAACTGGAACTTCACGTTTGTTGCAGTCCAGTACACAAGGAGTTTCAATTTCATGAATGATATCACAACCGTCCAAGATTTGTATCCTAGAAATCTTGAAGTGATAGGGAATATCAGCCACCATGACGGTCATTGTTGGACGCTTCAATGAATCACCTGAAGAAAGCCTTACTCATATCTGATTGTAATTTAGGAACCAAATGAAATAGAATATGTATTCGCATTTTTATGAGGTCCTGAAATTAACCAAGTTTTACTAGGTTACTTCTACTGTATTTTAAATCAATATCTAGAAAAACGCACGAGAACTTCATTACACAGCTTAACGTAGTCTACGTCAACCCTGTGGTCGTGTCTTGTACACAACCCCACCAATTTTTTTTCCTTGATTTGTTTTCCGTGCTGAGCACCAATGCTACCGCAGCCAGGAAGGCAGCTCCGACACCTGGACCCTACCTATCGATCCATCAATTCATGAAACGGGGACCAACGGCTTTACTTCCCTTCCGAAGGAAGGCGTGATCAGAGATGTTACGCCTCTGAACATCCCGGCGGCGCCGACTGGGATTGAACCCAGGCATGCTGGGATGAGAGGTAATCACGCTTACCACTACACCACCGGCGCCACTGTCACGTATCAATGTCAACCCAATTTTAAAAATCTCCAAAACAACCACCAATGTCGGTCTCCGATGAAGGCCCCCCGAAAACATAATCTCAGTAAGCTCAAATCGGCAACAGAGAGAAGATTTTGTAACAAAGTAGACCTCGGGATCGCAGCAACCGCAACCCTCGTTTGGGCGATTTTCCAGTGTCTACTCTAATGCGATGCATAATACACCAAGAAGCCTTGCATGGCATGCCATCGCCGATATGCTCCAGCTCCATAAAAATTTACGATACACACAACCGTTCGTTGCGTTCTGCTCCTTGCTGGGATGGTTGTAGCAGCAAGCAGCTATATTTCGCCACCCCATGTCGTTTGACGGTAATAAATGTAAATTCTATTAATGGCTTTTGGTGTTCATGGGGAAGGTGGTTTCTGGTGGCTTAAACCGTTCCAGTATAATAATAACGCGCCACCAGCAACACATTGCATTCACGCCCTCTCCCGGTCGGGATGGCTGCTTATGTTTTATGGGTCCTGAACCCTTCCCAAGGCAATCGAATTTATTGGGTCGTAATCGGTATTGTTCCGTCGATAAAAGCCGCACACAGTTTTGCATTTTATAACGGCAGCAACGCGAAGAAAGGTTGGTCTTTTGCGTCCCCTATTGTGAAAATGTCAAAAACCGGGGGCCCGTCAATCACCTGCAATCGGTTTTGGGGCGGGTTTTAGTGTCACTTACGTCGATTGGCTTGTTGGAAAGGTCCACCAGGCGATCCTGCACGTGGAGACGACCCTCGCGGAGCAGACCTGCGAATGCGAAACAGAAATTGGAAATTAGTACGATATTAATGGGGGCTTTTCCGTTCTGCTGGAAGAAAGACAAGTAAATTGCCATCGAGGCAGGCGTAGGCTTTCATGTTTCCTCTGGAAAACAGATCGTATGGTTTAGATTCGCTTTTGTTTCTGTGACACTCGCGATAACCATCATGGCATGCTATTATGTGAGGGATCCATTGTTGTTTAGGATAAAGATGTAGCTACACGCCTTGATTTAGCAAAGCGTGCGTTCAGACATATTTAGAGACATAAACAACTCTAGAACAGCATGGCATGAAAACGCACTTTCCTGCGGAGGAAGCCCAGCTTTAAGCTGTGTGTAATCTCCTTTGGATTATGGATTATGTAAGCAGAACGAAACTGCCGGAATGGTGATGAAAGTGGACGTTGGGTGGCTGGTATGGATTAAGGGGGATGCAGTGGTGGGAGAGGAAAACGATTAGCATCAGAGCTTTCAATTGAAAGGGCCTTATGGTTGGTGAGTTGGAAGTTTAGTTGGAAAAGCATGTCTGGCTAATGAAATTTTCATTATCATCGGACAGCAGAAATGTCGAAGAATACGACTGAGCAGGCTGTTTGCTTCCTCCTGACAATGAGGAGGATGAGTCATCAAAGCACAACTTATGATGAATTCTTTGTTAAAGGAAAATTTTATTTTTGAAAATAGGAGCTGCTCGTTAATTTTGATTACGATCGTAAACTTTTCCTTCAGTTTAAAATGGGCACTGTGTACTTATCGGAACAACCGCATACAGTGGCGTAGCGTGACTGGGAGACACCCAAGGCGGGTTATTCGGGTGTCACCTCCTAGTTATCAATTAATTTTATTAATTTTATATAACATGCTCATTAGGGTAGTTCATAATATCGATTATGCTCCACCAAGCTCATTCGATTCTAAATCAGGTCCAGATAATTTTTTAAAATTTGAGCTCATTTGGTTGCGATCCAAGGGGTAATCAAATCTGCGACGCCAACGCAAATCAACATCACCATCGGGTAGAGGAAGACTTCTACTATCCGACGGTTGTGTTGGTTCGCGTAGGCGTGCCTTGAATTCCTAGAAATCATCGACAGAAGTAATTGTTTACAGAAGCTGTTACGCCTTGATTCCAGCTCTATCTAGAATTTTCTTCAATTTGACAGTTGATTCAGTGATTCGTATCAACATTATAATATTGGTGCTTTTGATTACAAACTGGTTTGATTATAGAAGAATCAGTAGAAGATCGAATTCCAGGGCTATGCATTTTGAACAGGCACTCAGGATTTCTTCTATTTCTGAATGTACTGCTTTCAGTGAACGGGATATAACGGCAGAAGCAATCTAATGTTCTGCCGCAATCCCTATCATTTCAACCGCTTTTCTGCATTACGTCCGTTTGACGAGTGGGTTTTAATTCATTTGTTTTTTCTGGAAAATACCTCAGAGGAAGAGGAGGCAACTGGCTTCTTTTTTTATGTGACGTGTTCTTCTTCTCCGTGCAAAACTATTTCATTATGGGCGACGCAGTCGACTGTCAAAATACAAGAAAATAGATTCCCTATTGTAAAAATTCCCGCGTTTCTATACGTTCGCCCGACCAATCAGGCGCTGGTTTGCGTTTGACAGAAAATTGGTTCATAAAAGTCCCCCCTATTGTCTCCTCTTTCTCTTAGGAAAATGCCAGGCTGGCAATGAATTATGAATATGATGAAAAAGTAAATACTGTTTGCACCAACGTTTGTAATTTTGTTGGTACCCTTCTTACTAAGTGTTCTGATTTACAAATATTCTTCTTATCAGCTGATTCATGATTAGTAGATTAGTCTTAAGCTTTAGAAGTCAGAAATCCTGTCAGAAATTCCAAAACAAAAATGATGTTCGAAACATGAATGGAAAATACACAATTTTATTGTTATATACTGGTTAAATTGGAAACTCAAAATCCTAATCCAGCATTTTCCACGAAGAAAATTAACTGGCACAGTTTTTGTTTTGATTTTCAAATTCAACGCCTCCTATAATCAGACTTGATGGAGCCTCACTCGCGAGTTTGAAATGAGCCGAGTGTAGCATTTTTCTGACGAGTACACCGAAAATAGTTTTCATGTAGCTTCCATTGGAAACGCACATGATTTTCATCCATAATCAAATTCAATGGAATTCATCTGAATTTCACATAAAATTTATGCGATTACATTAACTTTATGTGATTTTTCACATGAATTTCATCGGCCTCATAATATTCATGTGATTTTGTGGTGGGATTTGCTGCTATGTGATCATAGGAAATCTATGTGAAATTCACATGAATTTCATCCATTAGATATGTGATAAATTTTTTGAGTGTAGAATGCCTACTGCCAAATCGTTTGGCTGAGCTTCAGAGCTAGTGAGCGAAGGGCGATAAAATGAGAGCAAGGTTTGCTGCCATTCATGTTCATGTTTTCTATCACACGCTCTTATACCATAAAGCTGGGTTTAGACAGGGCAAGTCAAATGATCAACTCAGTTGAATTCAATTGGCTTGAAAAGTTGAGCCTGGTTCAACTTTTTTCAATTCAAGTGAGTTGATCAAATCAGTTGAATGGCATAGTTTACACGTTCAATTCGCGTTCAGGTCAGTTGAATTCAACTGACTTGATCAATTGAGTTGCCCTGTCTAAACCCAGCTTAAAGGTAACTCTAAGACTAGAAGGTCCCGAAATAACGTGCTCAATTTTTTGGCTCAGCTCTGGTACTATCTTCGGTCTCAAGGTAATCGGTTCAACCCCTCGAAACATAGGAAAATCCACTAACCCCTCATTTTATCTGTCAAACTTTCATAGCGAATCAAAACAAACATTGTGTAGTACTAGAATTTCGACTAGAATGCGGTTCGTTAATCGTTTGCTTGGGACCAATAGGCTAGTCAAGTAGTGAGCCAATTTAAAATCGTTGATTGTTGCTAATACCCCGTTCACATTACAGCGTATATCACGTGATATACGTTATCTTGCAATGAGCACTCATACATCTAGTTTTCACTGGAAATCCTATGAATGAGTGCTCATTGCAAGACAGCCTATATTACGTGATATAGGCTGTAATGTGAACGGGGTATTACCAACAATCAATACGAAACTAACGATTTTAAATTTGCTCACCACTTTAGTAGCCTATTGGTCCCAAGCAAACGATTAACGTACCCTATTCTAGTTGAAATTCTATTACTACACTATGTTTGTTTTGATTCGCTATGAAAGTTTGACAGATAACATCAGGGGTGTGTGGATTCATGCAGAACATGCAGGGGTGAGTGAAATAGCTTGGGACTGCTTGGGACCGTTGTTCTGGTACTGAGTGAGCCAAACATAATAATGATTTTCTTCGGGACCCAGTGGTCTTAGAGTTACCTCTATGGTATTACTCTCACTCTGGGTGAACTCTGAGCTTCTTGCGTCGAACCTAAGAGGGAGAGGTGACAATTGGCTTCTTCCTCTTTTATTTCTTTCTCTATCTCTATCTTTATCTATCTCTATCTCTATCTTACGCACATGAAGTCGGCCAATCAGGAGCTGGTTCACGTTTGACAGAAAAGTGGTTCATTTTCGCCCCCGTATTGTCACCTCTTCTCTTAAGGGCCACCCAAATCAGATCCGTTTGCGTTGCGTTGACGTAAATTTGACAGTTAGACAATAGATTTAGCTGTCACTTTGCCGCAACGCGTCCGATCCGGATCTAATGTGCGTGGGCCTTTAGCGTCGAACAAAAAAGTCATCCGGAGTCTCGAAAAGCGCACCTCACGTCAAATCATCCTCTCGCTGAAGTTCACTCTCCCTCTCTCTCTCGAGGAGTTTTTATTTACAGTCAGGAATCCTTATTGCCGGATTCCTTATTGCCGGTATCCCTTATTGCCGGATCATTATTGCCGGGATATTCGCGAATAAGGATACCCACTGCTTATGGGATTTTCACTAATAGGGGCTGTGGTGGATTATGTCATTTGTTTCAATATATAAAGCTATACTGTCTTTGACAAATATGTTATACTGAGATAGACCAACAAGCCTGTGTCATTGGATTCAGGTTTAATTGGGAACTACGCCGCTAGAGGCGCTTCACTTTTATGTTACTTATGACGGGTGTTATAATATATGGATCTTAGGTCCAATATGGAATTATTTCGTGATCCTGGCCATATAGAAAGTTGCTGTCTTTAGCAAAGTTGACCAAATCCTTTCGGATGGTGGCCATATTAATTCAGAACTCTCTCACTGCACAGCGCTAGTGTGCACATGAGCTTCCTATATAAGCTGTATCTCAAAATCCTGGCCATATAGAAGGTTACTGTCTTCAGCAAAGTTGTTCAGGCGACCAAGTCCTTTTGGATGGTGGGCATAATAGTTCAGAACTCTCTCATTGCGCAGCGCTAGTGTGCATGTGAACTTCCTATATGAACTGTATCTCGAGAACCTGGCCATATAGAACATTGCTGTCTTCAGCAAAGTTGTTCAGGCGACCAAGTCCTTTCGGATGGTGGTCATATTATTTAAGAACTCTCTCACTACGCGGCGCTTGTGTGCACATGAACTTCCTTAATATGTTATTTCTGGAAAGCTGGTCCATATAAGATGTTGCTGTGCAATGTGAGAACACGAAACGGAATAGTGATGACGTGTAGAGAGGCTGTAAATCGATTTCGGACGCCATTTTAAAATCCAAGATGGCGGTCATCGATTCAAGAAAAACTGTCAAATACCCTACTATATGGATATTTTCGGAAAGGGTACGACGTGTAGAGTCTGGAAATCGATGCAAGACGTAATTTTGGAATCTAAGATGGTGGCCATCAGCTCAAGAAAAACTTTCAAATATGTACTCTACAATATGGATATTTCCGGAAAGGGAACGACGTGTAGAGAAATCGATGCTAGACGCCATTTTGAAATCTAAGATGGCGGCCATCGGTTCATGAAAAACTGTCAAATACCCTACAATATGGGTA